ATGATTTTTACTGGTTCATAAATTATATTTGCAAACTTTCCTCTGCCCCCACCCCATGGCTAGAGTCAAGAACTTCTGCAATTCACACACACTAGCATAGCTATAGTAAGAAAGACAGAAAATAACAAGTGTTGGTGTTGGAATCCTCATACACTGCTGGTAGAAAATGGTACAGTCACTGGAAAACGGCTCCTTCTTTAACATAGTTACTATACTTTTCTGCTGGTTTTTTATTCTCTTAAGATGATAACTTTTTTTTATCAGAGTCTCCTCTGAAAATAAAAAGACCTCAAAGCAAATTATATTTGGATATGACTTTAATATGAGAGCACAGAATAATTACCACATCGCTATTTCCCTTCTGTCTCAAAAAAGAGGTCAGAAAAAAATTGTTTTACTGCATTCTATCCCTGAAATATAGTGCAAAAAATCAATCAACATAGACCTAATGATTTATCCTGCCTCCTATCATCAAGAGATGAGGTCAGTCCTACTAATAAGAGTATCTCAGCAATCAGGAGCACAAGCATCTGAATTAGAAAGACTTAGCTTTGAATTTAGCAGACCTTCAATTATTATGTGTGATCTTGTGAAAATCATTTATCCCTCCCTACACCTACATTTTTCACCTATAAGTTAAATATTGCAATAATTATATCATATGTTTGTTACAAATATTAAAGAGAATGTATGCTAATTGCTCTTCACAATAATAGCATATAATTAATGCCTAATAAATAAATTTATTTAATTTTTATTTTTGGAGATGGAGTCTCACTCTGTTGCCCAAACTGGAGTACAGTAGCACAATCTCAGTTCACTGCAACCTCCGCCTTCCAGGTTCAAGTGATTTTCCTGCCTCAGCCTCCTGAGTAGCTGGGATTACAGGCATGCACCACCATGCCAAGCTAATTTTTGTATTTTTAGTAGAGAGAAAGTTTCACAATCTTGGCCAGGATGGTCTTAAACTCCTGGTCTCAAGTGATCTGCCCACCTTGGCCTTCCAAAGTACTGGGATTACAGGAAATAAATTTATTCTTAATAACAAATCATTGTTATTCTTAACCATGGTGTTGAAGCAGCACAGGATGTATGTCAGGAGAGAAGCAATAGTACCATCCGTGCCATTTGTGTGACTTTGGGCCAGTATACTATCTCATCTTCATCGAAAAGGCCCCTCTGGTAATATTAAATCACAGCAACTGTTTAATATGCATGAGTAACACAAGCCTTACTTGTTTTTTCTAGTATAAAACTTAAAACTCTCTTTTTTCTTTTCTTTTCTTTTTTTTTTTTTTCTAAAGAGACAGGGATCTCACTATGTTTCCCAGGCTATATTCCAACTCCTGGACTCAAAAAATCCTTCTGCCTTAGCTTCTCGAGTAGCTGGGACTATAGACATATGTCATTGTGTCTAAGTGACACAATATGAAAGTGATATGTTTTACTATGATACATACCAATTTATAGCTTATGATAGTCAACAAGGATTTTAGTGTAATCTAAAATTAGAATTAAAATTTAAATATGTATATTAAACTCAAATTTTTTGTTTTTGTTAAAACTCTTGGGATGCAAACATAATGGCTTTTAGGAGATTCACATATTATTTAAAATATCACGCCAGTCAACTTTTAATTGTGCAACTACAGATCAGTTATCATGGTTGACAACTAATAGTTAAAATTCCACTGGGCTCTCATTTGTGTGTGAGATAAACAAAAGGATAAAAGCAAGAAGACATGAAAAGTAATTCTGGATAATTCATAAAATAGACACTGAATCTCTAAGTAATTGAAAGTTAAATGGATTTAGACAGAGAAAATCAACCCTAAAAGATTCATTGCTTGTGCTTATGAAAAGGCCATATTTAAAAAAAAATTATGATGACTTAGCAATCACCTTATTTCAAATTTAATGCATAAAGCACTTCAAGCATATTTCACACCTATTTCATAGATAGCTCTGAATGTACTCTGAACAATAGGAAACATAAAACAAGTCTTTAAAATTCAAATAGACTAAAGTTTAAAGGATTACTCGCTCTGGAATTTCATGGAATAATGATCTATATCAAGAAGAACAGAGATAGTACAATGTATTAGAGAGCAGCGCATTTCTGATTCACCAATATTCTGTTTGTATTTGGTATTATCAGATGTTTACTCAATAGATGAAACATTTATTCATAGTCAGTCAATTGTAACCCAGGAAATCAGCCATTCAATAAACTGCTATTAATTTTCCACCAGAGATTCATGTTTGAATGACCATGCATTTCATAGGTTTAAATACCAAAAGACTAATTATCCCAAAGGTCCCATTAAAAGGATAACATAGATTGCAATCAAAAACAATCCTAACATTGCTCAGCTCAAAAATGATCTTCAGCTTTTGATGATAAAGGATACTTTGATTTCTATACCTATTGCACTCACTGAGAGTGTAGATCATATATACATATAGATTTATAAATACAGGTATATATATATGTGTGTGTGTATATATATGTGTGTGTGTGTGTATAAACACACCTATATACACCTTCCAAAGCAATTTGCCCCCAAACTCTAGAAAAATAAACTTGAACAGTTTCTTATACACAAAATAAAATGCAAATTAGAAGTTTATCTTCCTAATCTCCGTGAAATGTTTCAATTTTCCTTTTCTTTTTAAATATTATTTTCACAAAATGCCCTTATTAGCCTTATTCTATTGGCTTCACATTCAGAATGAAATGTGCAAGAACAAAATAATGCTTTTTTCACTCCGGTTTTGAAGTTTATAATCGCTCATTCTGCAAAACAATCCTGAGATTAAAGTAATAAAAATTGATGAGATTTAAAACACGTGACTTCAAAATATGTCACCTTGGCATTTGAGAAAACAGCAAAAGCAGGAAGGTATCTCTCATCTTTCCCCTGCCCTTTTTTCCTTATGAAAGTCAAAAAACTGAGCAAGAATTTTCTAATTTTCCCCTTAACCAGGTCATAATATTCTCCTTGGAGAATATCCAATTATCAATTCAATAGTACCCAGGATAGTGGAATGTGAATATTCAGATCACTGGAAAGGCGTAAGTGAACAAATTGATTTCTAGCATTTATATCACCCTAACTCACATCTCCCTATACCTGGAAGAAAGGATCCCAAGACAAACAGATGCCTAGAAGAATCTGAACAAATGCCTTGCTAAGTTCCTCCAATGTATTACCATTAAGATCATTTCTTCTTTGTCCAATTGCAGTTTCCCACAACTGTCTACTCTTTAACAAACCTAAGCATAAAAAGTACAAGTTTGTCTGTTTCCTGGGGTCATTTCCAAATGCTACTATTTTACTCACATAAAACTTATATAAAATAAATTTGTATGCTTTTTTCTTGTTAACCTGTCTTTTGTGACAGGGGCCTGAGCCACCAACCTAGTTATAGATCAGAAAAATCTTTCCTTTCCTACAGAAACCACACAGAATAATAATAGACACATTTGGCCAACTACAAATTTAGCTGACTTATAGGGAACACTTGTAATGTGTTCTTGAGTTTTTCAGGAGACTTGGAAGACACCAAATTCAATCAAAGTGATCAGTATATATTTCCAGAATGAGAGTATATCTAAAGAAAGCTGAATCTACTCAACTGCATTTTCATTCCTCTAAAGTGTTAGTGTACTAATATTTATTAATCAGTATATTCTCCTAGATAATAGAATACTAGATAGGAACTGTACTATATTTGTTTTATTCACTAATATTTGTTGAGGATATGAAGATATTCATGTATAAAATCTACAAATGGGGTAGCTAGAAGAAAAAGAATTTTCCAGCTAGAATTAAGCAAATGATTATAGCTGGCACACAGATATATTTCTATTCACTAAAAAGTCTACTGTATTGTGCTTTCCACAATCTAAGTTTTCCCCAAAGCTATCCAGTTCCTTTTGCTATGAGTTTATGGTAAGTCACTACCTAATTATAAATCCAATTCTCAATTTTATATTACCCAGAAGGATAGCAGACGTGAATATTAAGATCACTGGAAAGGAAGACATAAACAAATCAATTATTATAATTTATAACAACCTAACTTAAGAGTTTTGGTTAAACAGATGTAAACACTCTGATATTATGTTCACCTGTGAATTTACTCATCAAGTTTCATTTTTAACTGTCAATCTCATACCCATTAATTTCACTATTGAGGATATTGCTCTTTAAATGCAGATGGACTTCCTCTTTGAGAATGCTGTGAAATGTATATATGTAGAATATAGTTTACAACCAAACATTTTTATATTTCCTTCTGCCTTCCTTGTATCTCTCCTTCATCTCACACAACATAAAACAAAAAAGTAGAGAGCTGGCTTCTGAGGTTGCTCTTTGTCATACAAAATTAATAAACATAGGTATGGTTTATTGCTTATAAATTACAACATGCTTACAAATTAGAACATTTGAGGTGGACATAAAGTATATTCACATTGGGATTACAGTTTTTGCAATAAGAGAGTAAAATAGTCACAATCATGCCTTGAGTCAATAAACAGCTCTACTGAGGAACAGAAGCGTGATATTCCAAGTATTCTGGACTATTTGTTGTCTTATAAGACTGATTGAGTTTCATTTCTGAGTGACTTGCTACTCAAATATTGGCTGACCCAATGTATAAATGAAATGTTTTCATACCCACCCCTATGAAAAACAAAATAGGGATTTTATAGATATTATACCCAACTCACCTCTTAGTGATGATGAAAACGTTCACACCTCAAGTTGCACCTCCTTCTTAGTCTCTGTTCCTTGTTTGATAGAGCATTGGCATTGCTAAATCTCTTTTTAGCGTATACACTTTCATGCCTTTCTGTTCCCACCCTTCTTCCCCTCCATGAAACTCCTTTATTTCAATAAGTTACATTATTATTTTTCTATCAGATGTCCATACATGCCATCACAACAGAGACATTCAACAACTTAACACATTGATAAAAACGCAGAAAGTACCTGGACATAGGCTCTGCAAGAGCGCTCTCTTTTCTGAAGCTGAATCCATTAAGACAGCAGATTAAACACAGAATAGAAAAAACAAGTTAGTGACAGAAGAAAACAAGAAAAATAAAAGAACACATCTACACAAAACACCTCATTTTGTCATTCACTAATTTTCAGAAGAAAATGAAAGCTAAGCAGCAGCAAAATGTAAGCAATGGCTTGAGAAATAGTAGCCAACATCCTCTCAGGACAATCTAAGTGAAAACTGTATGGTATAAAGTTGTTAATGGTAGCAAAACATCTTTGAATACATTTAGTAGAAATTAGTAAAAAATCAATATACGTCATTCATTTGAAATGATTCATTACACATTAGGTTAGTTATGAATTTATGGGTGACAAAGACATAAAGTTAAGAAAATTAGGTCAGAAGTTTGGAACCCATTTTTCTAAGAAGATTATTTGTGGTTTACAGATAATATAAATGCTTAATGTGCACCACAAATCATATGTTCTTCATACATATAAAAACTTCTGTTTATTGGGAAAAAAGAAATGCCCATTCATTATGACTGTTTGATTCTAAGGGGCACACACCTAGAGATAACTAGCTACTGATTAAAAGGATGTGATTATTCTCCTGATTAACCACTTCTTTTATTTCTTGAATAATTTCTTTTGACAGTTTTGACAAAAAAACAAATGAAAGAAACTTTGGTGGGATAAGAAGTATACTTTTCTTTGTTTGTATGTTTGTTTGTTTGCATAGAGAGTGATGTCTTTCTGGGCAAAAGGTTAGCAGCAACTCCTATTACATCCCAAACATTATTTCCTGGCGATAAAATGAATTGTTAATAACAGTTTGTCCACCATCTTTATAAAAATAAGCCAAAATTTTATAAATTCATTTGTGTGTTTTCCTCTTCTTTCCTACTTTTTTTTTCAGTATTCTTGACTGTTGAAGGAGAATATTACTCAGTTTTTAAGAAGCAGTTACCCAGATGCCTTTTGTGTGGCTTATATTTTCCAACTCCTAATTCATGCATTCTTCAATGAGCATAGAGCAGTTACTCCTCTAAAGAATTAAGTGAGGAATGAGTGCAAGTAAATTGCCAGGGCTGTCATTTGGGTCACTGACTTGCATCATAGCTTGCAGGACTCTAAACCCTCCAGAATTTCAATACAGAGCACAACAGATTGTGTAGAGTTGACTTTGCAAATCTGATGGATTATAACTGCTTCAGGGAAAGTGGGAACCACAGGAAATGAGAGCAAGCCAGCAAGCGTGTGAATAACCTTTGCCCTACCATCTCCTTACCCCATCATGCAAATTAACATATGACAAACCACATTATATAAACAATTGAAAAGAGCCAAATGGGTAACAAAAGAGAGCATTAAAACACTTCACAAATGGAAATTTGCCCATTATTTAGTTATTTGATATTACAAAGTAGGCAAGCTGATTAGCTGTAGCCAGTTAGAAAGTGACATTAATTGCCAGCTTTACCTGATACTGTCAGACATCAACACCATTTTTAAATAAAGATACAAAGTATTGCTATAACAAGTCATGTTATGGATATGTAACATTAATAGAAATGACTACATCCGATACATTATGATAAAAATTGCTGGCAGCAATATTCATTAATAGCATCCAGCCAACCTGGGCAACAACACATCAAAATCACAGCACGCCCAGATTATATGAATTATACTCCAACAGACAATTGGTTGTGATTCTATCAAGGGCATAAGTGACAAAAATAACTCCTTTATTCTCAGAATAAAAAATATTAATAATTTATATTTAATAATAAATAAAACTGTACCTGTTTTCTGCAGATGAAATTGCAGAAAAAAAATAGATAAAATACCTGGCTTTCTCTGTTGAATAATCATTATTTAAAAATTTCTTTCTTTTTGATGAGTGAAATTCTTACCCTAGTAAGACACAGAAGAACTAAACATATTAAATACTAAACACATTAAAAGACGACTTTGCAGAGTCATTTTTCATTCTAAAGGAAAATGTTATTTTAGTGAATTCCATAGAGGAACATTAGTTTGGCAATGTCAAATTCTTGCTTTTTAAAGCAGTAAGGCTATCATGATATTCAAGGCCCTAAAATTCAGTCTCAATCATTGAACATCTCTACTGCACAAATGCCATTCAGGGAACACATGTCATTTGAAGGTAGCTATGCTAATAGGTTTTACCATGGGGTTAATTCACCATGTGATATTTTGTTACATAAGTAAATTATATTATTTATAAATATATGAAATATATTTTATATGTTTATGTAAATAAATGCCTATTTCATTAATAGAAATATAAACAAAAAATCATAAAATGTATTCTCCCTGAAGTTAACAAAATAACTTATTTACTTACAATTCAAATTTGCTGGAATATATTTAAGCTTTTAACATTTTAATGCTAGTGATACAAAATCTGAGTGATTTCAAAATCAAAAGGAAGTCAAAATGAAACAATTACTTGCCATATGAGTTTTTAAAAAGTTGTATTAATTAAGGTAAATGACCTAAGTTTTTAAATCTTCTATAATGGATTAGGAATATCTTCTTCTATAATGTTATATTCTAAAATTCTACTTATTAATTAGACATTTGTATTATTGTTAATTCTCTTTTTTTTTTTTTTGAGATCAAGTCTTGCTCTGTTGCCCAGGCTGGAGTGCAATGGCGCAATCTTGGCTCACAGCGACCTCTGCTTCCCAGGTTTAAGTGATTTTCCTGCCTCAGCCTCCAGAGTAGCTGGGACTACAAGCATGCACCACCACGCCCGGCTAATTTTTATATTTTTTAGTAGAGACGGTGTTTCACCATATTGGCCAGGCTCATCTCTAACTCCTAGCCTTGTGAGCCGCCGCCCTCAGCCTCCCAAAGTGCTGGGATCACAGGCGTGACCCACCACGCCGGGCCAATTATCTTAATATAAAAGTTTGAAAGAAAAAGAAATTGCATTCATCTAATTTGACCCTGTCTGAATTTAGCACAACAGAATAATTGCCATGGAAAACAGAATTATAAATTCAAAATATATATAAAGAGATTATCATTTATCATTACTTTAGATTAATAATAAATCGTTATATTACTATAACAGAATAACAAAGGAATTGAAAATAACTGTTGATTCTCTTTACAATGATCATATTCTATAGAAAGAGAAAAATTAAGTGGTGAAGTTTTTCTGATTTTATCACAACTTTAAAGATACATATATATATGTATATATACACACATATATACTTGGAGTCCTTACCTTGTTCAAACTCCGGGCAGCACTATCTTTTCCACCTGGGGTCAAGTTCCGAAGCTGTACATCCAGGAGGCCTACCAGCTGATCCATGGCTCGGACAGAGTAGGTGATGTCCCCAGCATTCAAGTGATTTCTTGTCTGTTCAGCCAGCTCTCTAGCAATGTTGGCAGCTGTCTCACCAGATTTCAACTATAATTTTGAAACAGAATACAAAGGAAAGAGATCTTAATACTGTTAGTGGTTTCTTTTGACGATCATGTTTGCATGTAATTGTAATCATTGATTCAAGAAATAGTTGTTAAACTCCATCTTCATCTGGAATACACTCACCAATTTTCCTGCAAATTCATCTTTTTCTTCAAAACCTGACTTTAAATTTATGTCTTCAGAAAGCTCCTCCTGAGGAAACTTACTTTGAAAAATTATGCTTACCTTAATCATCTATTTGGGTAGTTAAGTCTAAGGTCTGCCCTATTATTTTCTCTGTGAGTTTCTAAATTGGACTTTGTTGCGTGTGTTGTGAATCCCCAACCACATTGTAAGTTCTCAGAGGCAAGTACGATTTTCCTTTGTGCCTAGTTTAGCACTTAGTTCACAGTGAATACTCACCAGCTGCTCAGCTCTGTGAAAATTCTACCAGAAATAAAATCCCTGCTTTTCAAAATGATTTTCATCTTCTTACCAACTGTATAAGGAATTTTGCTCCCAGTATGCTGGATAGCAAACTATTGCTTAGTTTCTAGTATGTTTTTTTCTCTGAAACTACATGCTGATTTTTCAAGTACATTCTACAAGAATATGTCAAATTGTCAACACTCCAAAAATACTAAAACAAAGACTAATAGTTCATCATCACTTGAACAAATTTGATAGCCATGGGTAATTCAAACAGAGGAATATATACTAATTTGTAAGAAAGTTATGGGAAACAAGAAAGACGACACAAGAATAAGTAAGTGTAATTTCTCAAGTTATAATCTTTATTGTTTTGAAATTTATAAACTAAAACAGGATTATAACACATTTACACTAAATAAATAAAAATGTATAAAGTAAAAATAATAAGTGTATCTATTTCACCTCTATATATTATAACTTTCCAGAGATGATTATTATTTTTCTCTCTTGTTGCCCAGGCTGGAGTGCAATGGCACAATCTCAGCTCACTGTAACATACGACTTGAGGGTTCAAGTGATTCAATTCTCCTGCCCCAGCCTATGGAGTAGTTGGGATTACAGGCACCTGCCACCACACCCAGCTAATTTTTTTGTATTTTTAGTAGAGACGGGGTTTCACCATGTGGGGCAAGCTGGTCTTGAGCTCCTGAACTCAGGCAATCCACCCGTCTCAGCCTCCCAAAGTGCTGGGATCACAGGCATGAGCCCCCGAGCTCGGCCTTTGTTTTTTTTTTTTTTTTTTTTTTTAGATAGGGTCTCACTGTCACCCAGGACGAAGTGCAGGGACACAATCATAGCTCATCATAGTTCACTGTAACCTTGAACTCCTGGGCTCAAGGCATCCTCCCAGCTCATCCTCCCAAGTAGCTGGGACTATGGGTGTGTACCCACTATGCCTGGGTTGTTTTTTAATTTTTTTTTGTAGAGATGGGGCTCTTGATCTCATAGTGTCCTTCTACTTTGGCCTCCCAAACCACTGAGATTATGGCTTTGAGCCACCATGAGTTTGTTAATCATTTCCTATGCATCTTTTCAAACTTTAATCTGTCGTACTGTCAGAGGCCTTTAAACCAGAGCGACTCCATCTTGAGTGAGGGCTAGGAAAATGAGACCAGGACTTACTGAGCTGCATTCTCAAAAGTGAGGCATTCCTAGCCTCTAGGTATCTATGGTTAAGGGAACAAATTAATAATGTTTGCTAAACAGACCCAGACATATATATGTATGTATATATATACATACACATACATACATGTATATATACATATATATACATACATACACGTATATATATACATACACACAAGCTGGGCACAGTGGCTAACACCTGTAATCCCAGCACTTTGGCAGGTGGATCATGAGGTCAGGAGTTCAGACCAGCCTAGCCAACGTGGTGAAACCCTGTCTTTACTAAAAATACCAAAATTAGCTGGGCATGGTGGCGCATGCCTGTAATCCCAGCTACTCCGAAGGCTGAGGCAGGAGAATTGCTTGAACCCCAGAGGCAGAGGTTGCAGTGAGCTGAGATTGTGTCACTGCACTTCAGGCTGGGTGACAGAGCAAGACTGTCTTAAATAAACAAATAAATAGGAAAAAAAAACATATATACGTATTACCTAGGGTGGATGCATATCCCCTCTTGATTTCGGTAACATCCTCTGTCTATGGAGTAGCTATCCTTTCACAACTGTACTTTCTTCATCAACTTGCTTTTGCTTTGCACCGTGGATTTGCCCTGAATTTTCTAGGGCAAGATCCAAGAACCCTCTCTTGGGGTCTGGACCCAAATCCCTTTCCTGTAACACTATTACTATTTAAATATACAATAGTGTCATTATATAAAAAATTATTTTCTTCCCCTTTTAAAGGCAGTTCAACATAGAACATGTGAACACAAATAAAAAGCTGTTTTCTTTGAAAGTGGTCTCGCTAACTGGCATTCAGAAAGCTAAAAGGTGCACAACTGAAACTCTAATTTAAATAGGTGATTATCCTGATGTACTTGGGATGATTAGTGTTTGTATCAGAACTGAATGTTAAAGAAACAATATATGAATTAAACTGATTAGAACACCTAAATTATTTACAATCATATTCTCACATACATCGAAAAAGCCTAACTCAAAAAGTAACAACAAAAAAGTTTGAAATCGTCAAGTGGTGGCAAGAGTTTGTTTCAATGAATATCACCTCCATAAACTACTATTGGGAGTGTGTATTTGTTTTGCTCCTCTTAAATTACCATTGTCTATTAGACTTTGACATGTGAAGACTGTGTAACTCAGAAAGGCAACCATAAGAAATAATCCCACAGATACACAAAGAAAAATGTTCAAAGACATTGATTCCAGCCTGTTTATGATAAACAATAGATTATGACTATACAAAATTCTGCAGGCAGATTCATAGCCTGGAATTTTTTTTAATTAAAAAATAAATTTTAATTAAGCCAGTCAAATTTGGCAGTGAGGAGGTTGTATAGCAAGTCCATTGACACTAAGGTTACTAAATTCTGATAATCTACTACCATCTGACCACCCCTTACCATAAAATATTATCCCACAGTTTGAAATTATGAAGGGGATCAATAATGTTAACATTAATCTTCAGGATATATTGTTGAGTTAAAATAAATGCAGATATAAGTTATTTACATATATATGCTAATAAATATTTGCATGCTATTGAGAAATAGAAACATACTACATAAGTAATTGTAAATATGCTATTTGTAAAAAAAGAAATAATATATACAATATTTTTGGTTTTCTATAGATGTGTATTTCTGTATATTTAAATATACAGGACAAAGCCTAAAAAGAGAATCAAAGGAGAAATCCTTACCTATAATGTTAAAATTTTACAGGAAGAATATGTTAAACAACTATTATATAATCAATACTTTCTAGAATTTTTTGTGGTTGTTGTTGTTTTCTTTTCTTTTTTTTTTAAGATGGAGTCTCCCTCTGTCTCTGAGCCTGGAGTGTAGTGGCATAATCTTGGCTCACTCCATCCAACCAAGATTCTTGTGCCTGTGTCTCCCAAGTAGCTGGGATTACAGGTGCATGCCACCATGCCCAGCTAATTTTTGTATTTTCAGTAGAGATAAGGTCAGGCTGGTCTAAAACTCCTGACCTCAAGCCATCTGCCTGCCTTGAACTCCCAAAGTGCTGGGATCACAGGCATGAGCTACTGTACCCAACCAACTTCCTAGAAATTCTTAAAACAGAAAATATCAGGACTGACCATAAGAAATTTGTAAAACAGGGTCAGGGTCTTTATACCTAAAATGCCTGTAAGACTAAATGGAATACATTATAGGTTTTCACGAATAAGTATGTAACAATTCAATTTAGATCAAAGTAGCATTCATGGCCCACTGGTGGGTCATGAAAGTACTTTTAAGTGTTTATAAAATGATGTAAATGTGCTTAAAATCCATACATTTCCATTTCTACGCATAAATGGGGACTACTTACTGAAAATATAGTAAATCAAGTAACAGATTCTAAAATTCATTATTCATTAGTTAACTCAGTGAGGTGTGAGTAAACTGTAAGTATTCAAATTGAGTATTCCATTAAGAAGTCTGGATATCTGATACAAAGATTGGCAACTTTGCAAAACTCCCCCACTGGGCATAGGAATATCCAGATAGGTAGAATTCCTATAATTTTCCAAAAGGACATTATTTTAATTAATGTGCATTCCATAGTGCCTTGCAGGTTGTAATTTTTTACCTATTACATTCTTATGATAATGAATATATTTGTAGAATCACGATTGTTTTATTTTGTTAATCATGGGTTCTTGTGTAATTGTTTTGTTATTATTATTGTTTCCTTCTCAGTCTTTGTTACCACATAATATCGTTTCTATAAGAAAGAAGTCAGAGTTAGATGGAGACCTCTGAAATTTTATGATTCACTTAAATCCACCATGGTGACAAAAGTTTGAGATTTACTAAATTAGGTAATCTGTTTTCTTCGTTAACACAGTATCTTCAAAACTAAAGATACACGTATGGACTTTCATTATATCTACTGGTGATCATTATAAATAGCAAAATTGGTTATCATATAGAAAAAAATGAAATAACGGTAGTGGTATTTTCATATTGTAATTCCATTTTTTTTTTCTGTGTAGCTATACAAGCATAGTTTTCAATATTAATTATTACATTACTGGAGTAGGAAACAAAAAAGTGGAAAAAAAGACCTATGTAATTCCCTTATACAAAATTTATTGAGCTCAAAGGGCAGGAAAAAAAGGAAAAAAATTTAAACATTTTTTTATATGCAGTAATGAAAAAATTAAGAATGTAGATGACCAGCAAGTCAAAATATAATTGTTCTCATTACAAAAGATAGTAATGAAGGCCAGGCACGGTGACTTATGACTGTAATCCTAACACTTTGGGAGCCTGAGGTGGGAGGATCACTTGAGCTCAGAAGTTCAAGACCAGTCTAGGCAACATGGTGAAACCCCATCTCTACAAAAATAAAAATAAA